ATTATTCACAATTTAGCTGAAACTACTTAGTTTAAGTTATATAATTTCACCTGAATTTTTCTGCATTTATAATTTTAACATTTGTTGTTTTTGATTTGCATTGTAAATATATTTTTACTTTTGGATTGGAAATTAAAAGTAATTTTAATCCTTTAGGTTTTTCTTCTTGGAACAATAAGCTGTAAGGCATTAATCAAAATACATGAGACAAATCTGACTGAATTTACATTTTTAGCAAAATAAATCATTACGAGTTAAGAATGAATGATAGAAAAATATTCATTTTTTTAAGTCTTTATTTTATTTTAGGTTTTTCTTTCTGGAACAATARCCTATAAGACATTAATGAAATAATTGCATAGGTTTGTTGACTGAATTTTCATTCTTACTAAAAATAAATCAAATTGAAAATGGATGGTCAAAGATTGTTTGATCATTAATCATGAGTCATAACCAAAAAACATAGATTACATGCTGTTTTGAATGACAGATTAAACAGTGTAGTGTACACAGATTGTGGCTAAACACAAATACAGCAGAACATTATGAATGAATTACAACACAGGCATATAACTAAAGCAAAACTAATAAAAAAAGATAAAAAGTTATTCGCCATTAATAGCAAAAATAAAAACATAATAAAATGATTCAAGCATAAAAGGCATCAAAATAAACCCGCCAAAAATAATAATAAAGAAAACGAAAGCTCCAATATTATTAATCAAAGCGTTGATGGATGGTGAATTTTTCTTCATAAAGTGCGATATAACTTGAGTTTACGTATAGTCGGTATACACAAAAATAGTTATATTTCAAAGCACAGATTACCCGAGATATTCGTTATAACGGGAACGATATCCACGGAGTCTGTCTGAGCCTGGGATGAATCTTCAATGCAAAGAAAAAAGCATCAATCTTTTCAACGAAAGCTTTTCACAAACTGACAGATAATCATTCAAACAAACTGAATTATTCTATAAAACTAAGATCTAGTTTCTCAATCAAAATACGTCGTTTTAGCTCTAGTTCTGGGTATTTTGGTCTAATGTTTAATACTACAGAAAATAAATACACATTGGTATATATTAAGATTAAATAAAGGAGTTAGAGAAGTCGCAAAATTAAACTCCAATGAGACACTAAATTACGTTTGAAAATTATTGAGCTTACTCTTGATTCTTCTTGGGTTTAAAACGAGATTAGAATCCAAGAAAAAATAACTTACCGATGAGGTGGCCCTCTAGACATAATCTATTTGCAGTACTTAAGTGTTTGGTCGTCGCTTTGAAGCATTTATTACGACTTCTGTCGATGCATCTTCCACTTCTTTGCATTATTTGATAATGGCTGTCTTTTGTCAAGTGGACTCCGCCATCTTGGACGATAGATAGGAGACTGGGGCCCGCTTCGATATCATGACATCATTATACAGGGATCCCAAAATCTCCTAAAACTTTTTTTATTTTTCTTTCCTTCCTTCYTTTATGAGTACAGAAGTGGTGTACCTTTTTGCATCAAGAAATGATACCATGACATCATCAATACAAAGGTAACCGAAAAACTACCTTCCTTTAGCAGTAGTGCTCACCTCTGGGGTCTACGATGCCGCGGCCATCTTGCCAAAAGGGAGCAAAAACAAAACAAAGATGACGGAAAATATATAGGTGTTTGTCTTTCTCGTATGGGTAAAGGTGATCGATGTGCCGTCTTAATTAATCTTTTGCTGTATTCTCTTGCGGTRAACTGTTAATATCAATGGACGTCATTACTGAACAAAGCTTTGTTTGCCCCCTGGACGCACCATTATGTCTTGCGATCCAAGATGGCCGCGGTATAGTCGAAGTAGTCCATTCCTGGACAAGGCATCACGTGCGTGTAGAGTTTGTTGTGTTTCTCTATTAATTGGTTTGACATCAGTTGTAGCCTTGATTTATTATTTTTTATACTAAATATGGAGTTACCAAGATACAAAATTCTGGATCAAATATCATTAAATAGGATAAAAAAAGAGATTGTGCACAAGATGAATGACATGTATTAAAGAACCAGCTAGTAGCATTATCGCTACTGAAAGGTACGTTTCTTATAAAGACATCTTAGCCTGTTTAGATGGCATTACCATGGTAACATTTCACTTTATACTTACTTGGTGCACAACACAAAACTGTCTTAGAAAAAATAATTACATCTAAATAAATGTTGGTTGTGTTGGCTAGGATTACATTTCTCCTGACTGCGAAGCTATAACGAAAATACACAGCCGGTTTATAACTGTTCAGTAAAGAAAAAAGTCTTTCGTAAATCTCCTGTAGCTTGCTTGCAGCAAGTTATGAAACTAGCCATAAAACTAGCTCAATTCTGATCAATGAGTGTATTTTGTGCGTGCTGGGGCATMAAATCCAACGCTGAAAGTCGTGTTCCTCTCTGCTAAGACTCTTGATGACAGATACGACAACAAGCCTTCAGCAGTCAAGTTCTGCTTCTTCATGAGATTCGCAAAAGCGCGTGCTTCCGCGTCATAACGCGCAAGGGTGCTAGAAACCTCAGCATTAGCTTTGGACAACAGAATCTTAGCTTTCGACTCGGCGGTTTGTTCTGCAATCTGGCCGTTTTTAATGGCGTCTTCTTTTTGTGATTTGGCTTGGACGAGTTTTCTTGGACGCTCGTTTAAAGCAATGGCGATATTCTCCTTTGCGGCTTCCTTGTCGCGAACCACTTTCTCGTAGGAGGAAGGACGTTTGATGTTGCTGACCTGCAGGTCTGTAAGGTCTGCACTGACTTCAGCGAAACGGTACGCCATTGTAGTCAGAATGCTCTCTTGGAAGGTTGCTCTTTGRGACTGGAATTGGCTTGTGTTGAATCGACTACAGGCATCGAAGATGCTTGACTGAGCTAAATATCTGAAGAACAACGATATCGATAAGAAAAGTGTTACGTCGTAACCGCCATCTTGGTTGACGATAACGAAGCATTCCTCATTAGCTCCTCTTGTTATGTCAACCAAGATGGCGGCTGTTTCATCGTTATTCATATTTCAAGGGATTTTGAGTCACAGCGTGGCACAACTCTATTGCTGCTTGGCTGGGCTTGGGATTAGCGGAAAGCGGGAGAAAGCTTTCCGAGGGGGGTAGGGTTCCTAAAGACGACTTTATTCACAGAGATTTTAATTCAAGTTTACTGACTTTTCGACTTGTCTAAAACTTGAAGATTTTGTTCGTACTTACTCCAAAACCTTGACGTAATTGTCGAAGTCTTTAAATTGCAAAATGGTTTTTCGCAGATCCTTCGGCCTTGCGCGATACTGGAACTCTATCTTCAGGTTGATTTCCAACCCCTCTTTATTCAAACACTTCACATTGTCAAACTTCTTGCTCTTGAAGACACTAGGGAATTTGATGAACTTAAAACCGGGCGGTCCGTTGTGAAGGCCCGATTTTTTGACTTCTTCATCGAGGTCTCTCTGAACGACGTCGTAACCAACACCRACTGGAGGACAAAAGATATACATAGTTTAATACCATGCAGTTGCGGTAACAAAAGGTCGGTAACAAAACAATTGATTTTGAGCACACACTGACTTTAGAGAAACCTTGATTTATAACAGTGGTAGAGGGTGACAATGGGGTTAGTAGTTAACTGACAATCGGCCAAAAAAATAATATTCTTACATACAGTTTCTGATAATGTCACCAAAATCCTAAATGTCTTTTACTGAAACGATTTCTTGACGTCATCACTTCGGTACTCTATTTCTACACAAGGTTATTATAAGCGTTTGTAAGGTGATGTCCAGCAGTAGAGAATTTTTTAAACTATAGGTTGCTATCAATAGACCTCACTTCCGGTAATAGCTCTTTTTTGATGGCTTGTAGAATCCTGGTGATTGTTTTGATCTCTTGTTTTCTGGTTTGACGTCGTGAAAATAGTCAAATACAATAGTTTGAGGACTTATTTTGATATGTTTTGACTAAGCATCCGCTAGTTGCCCCCCAGGCAACCGCTTGTTTGCCCCCCAGTCAACTCCAAAAAGTCRCGTGATTGATAGTAAGCAATTGAAGATTTTGAAATTTTACAAAAAATGTAAGCATATGATAGGTAAATCAACGTATACATTTCTTTCTAAAAGTCGTAAGGCTCAACAAATATGCGATCTGGGTTATCGACAATTTTCACGACGAAACTTTACAATTTTACTTTTTTTTATTCTTTATTTTGTTGAGAAAGATTTTTGAATATGATAGCGTTCATAAGTTGTATACAGATGGGGCAACTAGGTCATTGGCTTTCATATAAATTGATTTAAAAATAGCTTTTCTCCACCGAACAAATTGAATTCCATGCTGAATGATACCGCACATAGCCTGCGCCACATCCGGAARAGTAGGACCTTTTAGTATGATGTCAGCTAGCTTTATTTATAAAATAAATTAAATAGTACGCACGCTGTGATTGGTTGATAACCATGTTTGCATGAGGGTATGTAAACACAGTTGTGACGTCACAACTTTCGTGTTTTCCCGGTACAAGTTCAAAAATTAAAAATTTACAGTTTCTTTCGAGGAAAAAAACGCCCCCAAAAATGTATTTTGAAGACGAAGTTCCAAATTTT